CCCGTCTGTACAGGAAGGTGGAGGTCAGAGGGCAGCTCGGAAGGGTGGGTTTGCTCACTCCTTTCTCCATGGGGGTCCAGGGGAACAAACAGGTGTCAGGTTGGGCAGAAAGTACCCTTATGCTGAGCCGTCTCACTGGTCCACATTGGTGTCCTTTTTGGTTTGTGACTTACTGCGTTTTTACCAAGGCTGTCCCTGTGACCATGGGTTTACCCTATGGAGCTTGATGAGCTCGCCATTGGGCCCAGGGGCTTCAGACAGGCGGTGATGGGAACCAAGGCCAAGCTGGCTCTGTATCTGCAGAGAAGCCAAGGGGTCAGTGTTGGGCCAAGACGGTGGTGGATAGTGCAGATGTTGGGGGGAGGCAGAAAGTACACAGAAGGAAGGAATGCCCAGAGGGAGCAGGCACACTCGTCAGTAGAGAGAGGAGCATGGGGTAAAGACCCTGCTCCAGAGTGTTGTGGCCACCATGGGTGAGTTCACAGGAAGCTATAGGATGCCTTGAGTTTCTAAAGCTTCAAGGGCTGATCCACCAACATCTCGATGGCTCCTCTCACCTTTGCACATCGTTCCTAGCTGTTTCCCTTCATACAGTTCCCTGCTGCTAAATACTAGGAGCCTCCCTCTCCCGCTCTCTGCTTCCCTCTTTCTCCCCTCCCTCCTCTTTTTTTTTCTTTAAGACAGGGTTTCTCTGTGAAACCCTGGTATTCCAGAACTCACTCTGTAGCCTAGGCTGGTCTTGAACTCACAGAGATCCACCTGCCTCTGCCTCCCAAGTGCTGGGATTAAAGGTGTGCGCCATCACGGCTTGGCTGGAAGCAATCCTTATTAAACTATAATCGTAGTATCTGTATCATAAGAGCCCACTAATGTTTGAGCAAAAGTCTGCATTTAGCACAGTGCCTCTTGGTTGCGGCCCTAAATCAGAGACTGGATTAAACAACAGCAGCAGCCTGGCGTTCAAGGTGGTGAGTTCACCCCCACAAATCCTTTCTGGGATCTGCAGTGAAACATGAGAAACAAGACACATAGCAGGAGAAAGGGCTCCAAGAGAATGTGAGGACAAGAGGTCACATGACCCTGTTGGCCTCAGATGTTCAAGGGATCTCACAGGTAGGGGAAGAAGTGAAGAAAGATGACCACAAATGTTCTGTAAATGTGGAATGATCACAGAGGAATATAATGAATACGGTTATGAGTGAGTCTAATGTGCCACCACCAGACAGACACCTGTGCATCGTCATCACACACCTGTGCTGTCAGTGAGTCTAATGCGTCATCATCACACACCTGTGCTCACAGTGAGTCTAATGCATCACCACCAGACGCCTGTGTGAGGGACCCTCAGCTGCAGATTCTCTTCATGCAGAAGTGATTGTTTTGCTGCACTGAGGTGATGTGTAAGGTATAAGGCATAAAGGGTTTCCGGCTGGGCATTGTGGCACATGCCAGGAAGATGAGGCAAGAGGACTGTGCATTTGGTCTATATAACAAGTTCTAGGCTAGCCTGGCCTATACAGTAAGACACTGTCTCAAGAAATCCCCTCCCTCAAAAGCCAACAAGATAAAAATCAAAATTAGTCCTATAGTTATCACCCATGATGAACACTTGGAGAGCCTTTGTCAAATGCAGATTCTGAGTATGTCTGGCAGCACTCACACCTGCAGTCCCAGCCCTTGGAGGGCCCAGAGGATCAGGGCTTCAAGGCCAGCCTGGGTTACACAGCAAGACCAAGGTATTAGGGAGAGCAGTTGGAAGGACAGTGGTGTCACCTGTGAGAAGGCGGCAGTAGAAGACAGGGAATAGCAGGTGTCCTGCTCGAAGTGAGGGGGTCAAAGTTGGTTCATCCGGGGCGATGTTGAAGGAGTTGGGCCCCACAGTGAAGCAGTCTCTGACGGGTCAAGTGTGTCGCTGTAGACCAGGTCTTCATGGAGACTGCTGCGTTTTGTCTAAGTCTGGATTAGGGTGACTTGGCCCCTGCAAGGGTATGATAGCATGCATTCTACATGGGGTTGAGGTGATTTGGATGAGAGCCCCCCCATACATACAGGCTCCTGTTTGAATGCTTGGTCCCCAGTTAGTGGAACTGTTTGTGAAGGATTAGTTGTGGCCTTATTGGAGGAGGTCTGTCGCTGGGGGTGGGCTTTGAGTTGTTAGTTCTCTCTGCCTCATGGCTGTCACGTGATAGATGCGAGCTCTCAGCTGCTGCTCCATCACCATCTCCGCCTGCCTGCTGCCTTGTTCCCCGCCATGACGGACGGCATGGACCATAACCCTCTGGAACTATAATCCTCAAATTAAGTGCCTTTATAAATTGCCTTGGAGCTGGATAGTGGTGGCGCACGCCTTTAATCCCAGTACCCGGGAGGCAGAGACAGGCGGATCTCTGTGAGTTCGAGACCTGCCTGGTCTACAGAGTGAGTTCCAGGACAGCCAGGGCTACAACAGAGAAACCCTGTCTTGAAAAACAAAGAAAAAGTAACTGAGACGGAGGTGGTGTGGGAGGCATGGGAGGTTCTCTCTCTCAGCTGCACTCATCAGAATCACAGACACAGGTGGCCACACGGGGGATACCAGTGTGTGGTGAGAATGGGGGTCTCCACTGACGCCTACCCTAAAGGCTTGTGGTTCCAAGTGCTTTTAGAGGCTTGTGCCTCTCATGAGACATCACAATCCGCGGCTACAGAGCTGGCTAAAGCACAAAGGATGCTGGGATGGGGTGGATAAGGGACACAGAATGGGGCAGCTGCCTCTGGAAGCAGCCAAACTGTCCCCAGCTGCAGCAAGGGTAGAGGATTTGGTGACAGGATTTGGGACTGTCTAACCCAGCCCGGAACTAACACCCTCCTCCCCTTCACACAGGCACCTTGTCCTGCCCCTCAAGCCTGTCAAAGCTCAGAATAACCCTGAGAACCAGACAGCAGGATGACAGGGGCTCTGCTTGGTGCCCTGCTTCTCTTGGCACTCCTTGGTAGGGACAGGAATTAGGGGAGCCAACCTGGAGGGACCAGGGAAAAGGTGGAGACCAAGGCATAGACTGAGAGAGTACTTGGTCCCCAGGTGCACTACTTACTGTTGGCTTAGGAGAAATGTAGAAAGATACATACAGGAGGGCTGCGCAGACCCAGGGGGCAGAGAGAAACCCAGGCTGTTGCTTCAAGTCCAGTGATCCTTCCTTCTTGACGTACCCCAGGCAGAAGCGAGAGTAAGAACGAAGAGCTCAGCCTGTATCACCATCTCTTCGACAAGTATGACTCAGGATGCCGGCCAGTTAGGAGGCCCGAAGACACCGTTACCATCACCCTCAAGGTCACCCTAACCAACCTCATCTCACTGGTAAGCTACCCCTCCAATCCTATGCCTGCTTTCTCACTTCTAACCCTAACTCCCGGCCTCAGGCAGGCTCATTCCTCTTGTAGAACGAGAAGGAGGAGACCCTGACCACCAACGTCTGGATTGGAATTGTGAGTCAGATCTCGGGAGCAGTGCGAGGGTTCCCAGCCAACCCCCTTCTTCCTACCCAGAAGGGTGGAGAGCACACCCTTCTGTCCCCTCCTCTCAGGACTGGCAGGACTACAGGCTCAACTTCAGCAAGGAGGATTTTGCAGGCATAGAGACCCTGCGGGTCCCTTCGGAATCTGTGTGGCTGCCAGAGATCGTTCTGGAAAACAAGTGAGGACTGGCCAAGAGGAAACGGTTTTATGGGGGACTTTGTTGGTGGAAGAGGTTCAGTACTCTTTCCAATACTGTGAAAAGCTTGTTCCCCACAGCATCGATGGGCAGTTTGGAGTGGCCTATGACTGCAATGTTCTGGTCAGTGAGGGGGGCTACGTGACCTGGTTGCCCCCTGCCATCTACCACAGCACCTGCGCAGTGGAGGTCACCTACTTCCCTTTCGACTGGCAGAACTGCTCTCTGGTTTTCCGGTGGGGAGAGTCACTTCAAGGAGGAGAGAGGGGGGCCTAGAGCGGGGACAGGGCTTGACATGGAGGAGCGGGTGGGGGCTCTGTGGAAGGGTTGTGCAGGTGGTGGAGGGGGGCACTGAGATGCGTGGGAAGCTGCACGTGGGTTTGCTGCCATCTTGTAGTTTATCCCACAGTCCCAGCTCCTCCCCAGGAAGAGTCTGAGGCATGAACAGGAAGTAGATGTGCTGGAGGGATGTGGGCAAGAGTGGAGCCATTGGGAGCTTCCAGGGCGGGACTAAGAAGGGTCCAGCTTCTGGGGTGAAGCCTGGCCGTGTTTCACAGCTCCCAGACCTACAATGCTGAAGAAGTGGAGTTCATCTTTGCGGTGGATGACAACGGCGAGACCATCGACAAGATTGAAATTGACACGGAAGCTTTTACTGGTGAAGGGGCTATCACTTCCTCCAAAACCTTTCCCGGATGAGGGCCACGGGTGGGGGTGGGGCTTGCAGAGCCTGACTTGGGCCACACAACTCGGTTGTCACACTAGGCCTCTCTCTTTCACATCCTGACTGGGAATGTCCCTCTCTGCCCATACTTCCCCTATGCTGACACCCCAGCGTCCTGAAGCTGCGCCCACCCGCTCAGCCTGGAGTTGCAGGTATGTGGGCTGACTGCACCCCATGCCCTGCAGAGAATGGAGAATGGGCCATCGACTACTGCCCAGGCACGATCCGCCATTACAAGGGAGACTCTGCAGAAGTCCCCGGAGAAACTGACATCATCTACACGCTCATCATCCGTCGGAAGCCGCTCTTTTACGTCATTAACATCATTGTACCTTGTGTACTCATTTCCGGCTTGGTGCTGCTTGCTTACTTCCTGCCTGCGCAGGGTAAGGGGTGACCCCTAACTTCTAAAGCCCAGGCTAGGCTCCCTCCCTGGGCCGCTTCTCACGGTACGCTCCCTCTAGCTGGTGGCCAGAAATGCACAGTCTCAATCAACGTCCTGCTAGCCCAGACTGTCTTCTTGTTCCTAATTGCCCAGAAAATTCCAGAGACATCTCTGAGCGTGCCACTGCTGGGCAGGTAACCTCAAAGTGGATCTAACAGAGATGGGGTACCAGCACGGTGGGCGGAGCCAAAGAAGGTTGGCGTAGGGGACTTGCAGTTGTCCTGTTCTGGGTTTTTATTTGGACACAGGGTGGGGCTGGGACAGTGATGGATTATCTGGTCCCCCGTTCTCCTCACTGCTGTTGGATGCCACCTTGGGGTCTCCCGGGTATCTCTGTTGAGAGGTCAGTATGGCTCAGTATAACCTCAGTCCCATCTCCTCTGACCCGTGTCACACCCCTTATTCTGAACGTACCGGATCCCCGGGGACCCCAAGACCCAGCTGGCGTAGGGTTTGTTGCAGGGATGAGGTGGACCCCTGCAAACCGCGTCCGCACAGGCATAGCCACGCCCCCTGGATCAGGTACCGGACACTTGCGCCAGCTGCTGCTCCAGCTTGCCGAATCCCCTGCCCTGCAGCCAGGGCTACACGGGCCAGTGCCCTACCCGGATCCCCAGTGTTCGGGGCTGCGCTCAGGCAGCCGTCGCTGCTGTCCAGCACTTCCTGCTGTAGCCACAGGACTGAGATCTGCATTGGGGGCACAGGGGCTAGAGGTCTCTGCCTTTGCTGGCCTACCCCTCCCCCGCTTTTCTTCCCATCCCTCAACTCCCCAGAGCTGCACCTCTAGCAAGGCGGCTCCGAAGCTCATGATGCTGGTTGCAGCTTCTCTTAGCACCAGCCCCAAGGTGGCCTTCTGGGCAGGCGGCTTACTGGATTCCAGGGGCTCCTGGGACTTAAGTTCTCTGAACCTTTGGACCAGATATTCGTGAGCTGCGGCCACAGCAAGTTCCAGGGAAGACAGAAGCGGAGGCTGTAGGGCCACCTGGAGAAGCAGGGGTAGTGGAGTGGGAAGGGTCACAGCAGCAGGCGCTGGAGACCTCTCCAGATGCTGCCTTTGGGTGGACCGTTCTCACCTCGGTGGAGCTGTGGAAGCGGTAGACCCACAGCAGGGTGTCCAAGTTGCTGGGAGTCCCCTTCATGGCCGCAACAGATGGTAGATGCGGGAAGGCGGACGATACTGGTGTTGTGGAGGGGTAGCCAAGGGAAGTAACTCCACCACTCCCGCGCCGAGGTGTTTGTGAGGTAGAGGACAGCTAGCGGCTTGTCCTGTTTTGTGGGATGCTGTGACATCATGCCTCCTGGGTATGTATCTCAGGTATCTTATTTTCGTCATGGTGGTTGCCACGCTCATTGTTATGAATTGCGTCATCGTGCTCAACGTGTCTTTGCGGACGCCGACGACTCATACCACATCCCCTCGGCTGCGCCAAGTAAGCACACGCGCTGGTTGAATGAAGGACAGCCCAGGGTGGGAGGCGGGTTTGGAACTTATCTCTGCCCTGGCCACAGATTTTATTGGAGCTACTGCCACGCCTCCTGGGCTCAAGCCCACCCCCTGAGGCTCCCCGAGCTGCCTCACCTGCCAGGCGCGCGTCCTCTGTGGGCATTCTGCTCCGAGCAGAGGAGCTCATCCTGAAAAAGCCGCGGAGTGAGCTCGTGTTTGAGGGGCAGAGGCATCGGCATGGGGCTCGGACTGGTGAGCACCGCTTTTGGTGGGTCAAAGGCACACACTTGCTTTGGGGATGTTCTTTAATGACTTGGTGTCGCCGCCCTTTTAGCTGCCCTCTGCCAGAACCTGGGCGCTGCAGCCCCTGAAATCCGCTGTTGTGTGGATGCTGTGAACTTTGTGGCTGAGAGCACACGCGACCAGGAAGCCAACGAAGAGGTGGGTTAGGCTGAGTGAGAGTGCGGCTAAGGCCCTTCCCTCATTCCCTCTCTTGCGCTAAGCTGTGTCCCACAGGAAGTGTCCGACTGGGTGCGCATGGGGAAAGCCCTCGACAACGTCTGCTTTTGGGCAGCTCTGGTGCTCTTCAGCGTCGGTTCCTGCCTCATCTTCCTTGGGGGTTACTTCAACCAAGTTCCTGATCTCCCCTACCCACCGTGTATCTAACCCTGAGCCTGCACCCACGTCACCCCCTCCCCCTGCAAGAAGTCGACTTTGCCAACAGGCTGACAATAAATCCATTTTGTGAACTTCCAGGACGGTTGTGTGGTCACGTGGGTAGGTCTGGCTCCTCGGGGTCAGTGTGTATAGCAGTCGGGTGATTTGGCCAGGCTCTTGAAGTCAACACTCTAGGGCAGGGTTTGCCCTTGGTTCAGTCTCACTACCTCTTGGCTCCTTTGATCCATCAGACCTAGCTGACAGCCAATGAGGCTTTGCCCAGACTTAGACATAGGAACACTGACACCAGATGGTGGGCTCTCAACATGGTGGGAGCTGGTAGAATCGTATTTATTAACAAACGGGTATCCAAGGCCACTACATTGAGAAAGGATACAGGAGGGGGAAGGGCTACCTGCTGCTCACACTATATACAGATGCAAGCAAGGGGGCATGAAGGGAGGGGAGGGTGGGAAGGAGGAATGTTTTGGCTATGGGGTCCCTCCTCCATTCCCTGGGACCTGGGGGAGGGGAAGTCATTAAAGTGCTTTCAGAAAATGAGGACATGGTCCCTGCCCCTGGAGTGGCTGGTGACCCTCCCCCCAGAACCCAGGGCCCAGTGACCCCCCCCCAGAGTCTGGTACATTCAAGGGGGGAGCCGGCTCCCCTGGCGTGCAAATAAAGGGGTACAGGGCCCTGCTCAGTCAGCAGCAATGGGGTAAGGGGGTCCAAGCCCCAAGCACTCTCCTCTTAAGTGGAGAAAAGGGGAGGGGCAAGTCCCACTCGATTCCTGGTAAGGGGAAGCTGTGTCATTCCCCAGAAGTTGGGGACAGGCACAGTTTTGAAAACATGTTGGGAGAAAGGATGGTCACGTGATCACAAAAGCTTCAGGGATCAGAGGTCACGTTCCCAGCAGGCTCCAGTGAATCAAACCAGTAAAAGCAAAAGCCCAAAGGGAGAGGGGGAGCAGGGCTGGGCGGTCTGGCTGTGGGGAGAGAGCTGGGTCCATGGGGAGCCCAGCCCAGGGCCTCATCACCAGTTCATGATGCAGTTACGGTTCAGAGTCATAAAGTAAACTTGGCTGCTTCCCCCAGAGCGGACTGAGGCAAAAAACACCTGGATGAGATAGAAAAGCCATCACGAAGGGCTAGAGTGTGGTGTGTGTGTTTGTGGGTGGGGGATCCTCAGCTGGGAAAGGGAAGAGGAAGTGAGACAAACTACAGACCGGTGCATGCTTCTCCCCACCCCAGTGAAAGGCCGGAGGTGTGTTACCAGAGCCCTGGGGTAAAGGCAACAGAACCCAAGGGGAAGGAGGGTGGCGGCTCTGACAGCTTCCAGGGGAGGGGCTGCTCTGAGGGGAACAGCAGAACCACTCCGCCCCCCAGATGTGCCCAGCACAAGGTGTGGACAGCCAGCCTAGCACAGAGCTCCCTCACATACACACTGCCTCACCTTATCATTCCGCTCACACAAGAACTTGAGTCTCTGGGCTCGTTTGTGCATGAAGACCCCATCTAGGTGGCCTGTCTCCACAGAGCGGATCTCAATGGCTTTTTCACCCCAGCCCATTATCTGGTTGGAGCAGATGTAGGCTGAAGGGAGACGATGGTAGAAAGGCTGTAAGGAGGCTGTCCTGGTCACCTCAGGGCAAGCTGTCCGGGAGGTGGCCATCACTTACCCACAGAGGTGGGCATCTCTCCCCACTGCAGCACCACATCCTTGATGATCCGCCCGTAGGTGTTGACATAGACACCTTCGTCTTCATAGCACAGCAGCATCTCCATGCCGTCGGTGTTGGGGAGGAAGATGATGGCATGGGGCGTGATCTGGCTCTGGATCTGGGGGGAGAGAGTGGGGTGAGGTAGGGTCCTCAAGTCTGATGTCTAGAAGGACTGGTTCCACTTGCTCCACAGCCCTGCTAAGCTCACGTGCACAGGGATGTAGATGTCGTAACTGTTCCCAGAGTCAACATCCACAGCATGGAAGCCAGCACTGGAGCCATAGATGACCTTGAGCCGCTGTCCCTCCTCTACAGTCAGGTCCACCAGCAGAGGGCGGTGAGGGAGGTCAGCAAAGGACTGTGGGGGAGAGAAGACTCAGCAAGAAAGTGCAGGAGCAGAACCTTCAAATAAATGTACTGAAGGCTGAGGCTGCCATTACCTTGAAGGCCATAAATTTGTGGTAGGGTTTGGGAGCCCAGGCATACACCTCCACAGAGCTCTTCAGGGCAATGACCAGGAACTTAATACGCTCATATTTCACTGGGGGCAAGAAAGGGGGAAGCAATGACTTCCGCTGTCAGGCTCTCCTCGTTTCTCCCTGGCTACTGTGTTGTGTCATCCTCACCAACACGATAGTGGCCACAGCCCTCCATGTCCCCCACAGTGGTCCACCCTTGCTTCTTCTCCACCTCTGGGTCGTTGTGCAGAATCTTATTCCGCAGCCAGGACAGGTAATATACCCGAAGTTTGTTCCTTTTCCCTGAGAGATGGACACACACACACACATAAAAACTCACACTTTTCCCATCAAAGGCCCCATTTGTGTGCTGCTTCACACAGTGCTATTTGCACAGCACAGGGAACACCAAGGCCCTCCTCCTCCCAGGCCAGGGTTGGGACGGGCACCTGAGATGGTGATGAGCAGGTTGAGCCCCTCCAGCACGTCCATTTGCTGGAAGCGCCGCCGCCCAATGAGTCCATACACTTTGCCCTGTCCGCTCCGGTCCAGCAGCATCAGCCCATTCTCTGTGCCCACCAGGAGATTGACCCCTGCAATACGAGTCCTTGGGCAGGTCAGAGGCAGACCCGGATCTCCCCTGACCAGGATCAGGAGCATGGAAGCTGTACCCAGATCCCTTTCAGCCCTGGCTTACCCCAGAGGGCTGCACAGAGGATCTCCGAATTGAATCGCTTCTTGTACTTCCGAATCTCGGGAGTTTCACTATGAGCCCGGGTGTTGGTGGGGTTGACGTTGACCACAGAGCCTTTCCTCACATCGAACTGCAGCTGGTCAAGACGACCACCCTCTCCACCTACTAGGGCTGCCAAGATGAAGAGGAGGGAGGGTGGCCGCAGCCCTCCAGTGCCTGTTTTTATTCCTATGCTGTATCTGAACTTGACACTTCAGAACTCTCAGAAGGGGAAGAGAAAGACGTCAGCAGAGGTGCACGAAGAGAGCAGATAAAAGAACCCCGGCCTTGAGGCCAGGGCCTAGCTCAAATCCTTCATCTGTCACTCAACTGGTCCCTTAGCCACCCTGAGCAATTGCCCCTCAGAAGCCCTTGCCCGGGCAGGGGCTAAGCCTCAAGAGAGAGGCCTGTGTGTATGACGCATGCCTTTAATTCCAGCACTTGGGAAGCAGGGGCAGGCAGTTCTCTATGAGTTCGGGGCCAGCCTGGTCTACAGAGTGAGTTCCAGGACAGCCAGAGCTCTTATACAGAGAAACCCTGTCGCAAAAAAACTAAAAAATTAAAATTTTTCTTTTCTATGTATGCAGGTATCCATGGAGGCTGGAAAAGGCATCTGATTCCCTGACTCAAAGTTAAGGAGGGTGTGAGGAGTGTGATGTGGATGTTGGGACCACACTTGGGTTCTCTGGAAGAGTAGCACATACTTTTAACCACTGAGCTGTCTCTTCAGCCCCATGCTTATCCTCTGTAAAGCTACATTCTCAGGCTAGCTCTGAAGTCCAGCCTCACGGCAGATATTTCCTCCTGTCCTCACCTGTGATAGGGATGGTGTCCCCACTGCTTCCGGGCTGGTAGATCCCTAGATCGACAAACATGGTGAAAGAGCTCTTCCCAGGGGCCTTTACCAACCCTCGAGACTGGTACTGTGGGGAGAGGGAACAGTCAAGAACCACGTGTGGCTGTGGGACAGACCCCAGCCCTACTGCGTTCACAGTGCCTTGCTTCACCTGCCACAGTGCTCCCATCACCCACTCCTCTGCAAACCGTTTGCAGGGCTCTTTCTCTAGTCATGGACCTACGTCCACACTTACATCACTGCCTCCATCTTTTGTGGGAGGGCTTTGACCTTTGCTGTTCTCAGTAGGTGAGTGGCTGGGCTGGACCACATCGGGCAGGTTTGTGTAGCCATTGCTGTCAGCAAGCAGCAGGCTTCGTTCCTCTTCAGGAGTCTGTAGAACAGACAGAAGGTTAGGGTAGGGCTGCAGAGGGCCTGCTGCAGGTGTAGGAAAGAGTAGGGAGACCCACTCACACGCTGGACCACCATGGTGCCTCCCCCATATGGGGGCTGGGTCCCGGCTATCTCCTCAACATCATGAACCACCATGGTGCTGACGCTGTCCGTATCTCCATCACTGCTGTGGGAAAGAGGTCCTGCTTGCCATACAATGCCACAGGAAGCAGGTGACAGCGGAGACTGGGGCTTTCAGTCTCCTCTAAAGCCCTCACTGACTCGTGTTTTCTGAGTGGCCCTCAGGGCAGGCTGGCAGAGACAGAGGAGCATCTGGAAGGGCCCCCCACAACTGACAGAACAGTGGACGCAGTGGGAAGCTAGCACTCCACCCTGGCACAGCCTCACTCCCGCCTTCCCTGAATCTTTCCTCTCCTTGTCCTGATAGGAGGCCTGCCCTAGGACACCCCATACCGGCCCCCGGGAGTGTCTCTGCTCCCCTCTGACGGCTCCCCATCGCCTTCCTCATCCTCATCTTCACTGCTTTCCACCTCCTCACTGGATGAGGAATAGTCCATGGCCTTCTTGGGAGGCCTAGGGGCCTCATCCAGGGTCCGCTCTTTGAGCAACACAAAATCCTGCAGGGAAGAAAAGGCATGAGGGGAGCAGTGGGGCTTGGGTAGAAGCAATACATGGAGGCTGCCAGTGGAGCTGCAGACAGGGAACAAGAGAGGGCTCCCCAACAACCCCTCTCACTAACCTCACCAATTGCTCGCTTATAGCTCTGGGAGGGGCCGCGGAGGAGGAAAGGCAGCCAGGAGGAAGCAGGAGAGATGGTGAGAAAGGTTAGTGGCATGAGAGGTGCTGTGTGGCCTGGGACTGCCCTCGTCCTCTCATGGGAGTGAAGGGTCGGCCCTGATCCCAGTGCCCAGGACCCTGAAGGCTGCACATCCTGCCCCCTGCACTCACTGCGGGCCGGCCTGGCCTTGAACGGTGGTCTTCAGGCTTGGCTTTGTTCCCAGGGGAGAGCACTGGTGAGCTGTCTAGTTTTGTGGAGGCTGGGCGTGGCAGGGTAGAAGAAAGAAGGTCACAGATACCTACAAAGTGGCCTCAGGCCCATGCTGACCATAGGCCCCAACCCCACCCACAGGCCTCTTGCCCCTGTGGTGTTCTGGTCCTAAGCCACTAAAGGCCATAGGCCCTGCTCTCAGTGTTGGTCAAGACAAATTCAAGGCCCAGGTATGTCAGGCTGACATACCTCCCACACGGTTTCGGTTTCGTTCCAGTGAGCCAGCCTGAGGGAGGTGTCCATGAGAGGCCGGGAGGACACTGTCTGAGCGCTCCCAGCCAGGGTCACTCCTCCTGAGGTCGGGGTTACTGTGAAGGGACGGAGTTCATGTCAGAGATGTGCTTCCATCCACGGGTGTCAAGCTACACTGCAGGAGGAGCCATCACCAGGGAAGCAGGTGGCAGAAGTGAGAAGTGAGAGTGAGTGGGGCCAACTCCATTACCTAGAGGCGTTGGGCGGGCCAGGGGGCTGAGCTGGGGGCCCGGGAGGCTTGGGGGTGCCCCGCTCTGCCCGCCTCTGCAGATAGATTTGCCAGGCGGAGTTGCTGCGAGGTCTGTGGAGGGAGCAGAGGGTGCCGGGGCGGGTGGTGGTGGCACAAGGAGGGGCTGAGGTGCCTGGTTTGGGGCTTGCCCCACCCCTATGCAGGTAACCCGGCAAAGTCCCTATGTCTCTTACTCCCTAGGCTGCCACATGACCCCACCCTGGCGTTGTGTACCTGGCACGGACAGCCTGAGCTGGCCGGGACCCTCCGGCCCCACTGGTGTTAAGGGCAGTGGCAATAGACGAGGTTCTCTGAGGAACCTGGAAAGAACAGGCGTTGACAAGCCCTGTCAGTCATGTGCAGATGTCACACACATTCAACCCCAACCTAAGAAATGTAGTCTTCAGCATCCACGGAGAAACAAACAGGTCAGGTAAGTTACCGAGTATATCCAGGCTAGGAATCTGAAAAATGGCCCGTGGGATAAAGCCACCTATAAGTTATAAGAGTTGGTAAGAAGCCTGAGCTAATGGGTCAGTTTATAGTTAATGTAGACCTCTGTGTGATCTCTTTGGGACTTAATGACTATGGGAGCCGGGCAGGACAGAAGCCCCTCGCCAACAAATGGCGCCCACGTGGACAACATAAAGCCAGACAGAGCTTGGGAAGTAATTCTAGACAGAAAAGAACAGAGCTAAGCACAGCTTATTGAGAGCAGCATTTTCTCAGGTGGGCTCTGTTTGTTAGAGGCGAATGTGTCTCATTTTCTTCCTGACTCAGCTTTAGCTGTAAAACCTTGCAGCTTTTTTGAGAGGTCCTGCCATGAAACACTTAAATGGTGTTGATGAAAAGCTGACCACATGCTTTTTGGTTTTCAGCCGTAGCAGGAAAAAAGCTGCAACATTTTAAAATGCCAGCTTCCTGGGCCACCCTGCCAGCACAAACTCTGACTCTTAAAGGCAGGAGGTCCGCCTACAGAGCGTGTGGTTTGTGAGCAGATTGCTGCAGCTTGCTTCTGGCAGGGACCTTGAAATGCCATAGAGTTGTGGCAATAAACGTGGCTACAGCTGGTACCTCCGCCATGAGGCTAGAATCTCAGAAAGCTAAGGAATCCAGCCATCAAACCCACGGCTTTAAACCTACCCATATTGCTTAGCAAATTATAGACTCATGTGGTCCAAAAAAGAGAGATATACAGTAAAGAGAGATTCAAAAATGAAGAAAACCTCTAAATGTTTTACAGTGTGTTAAAAATATATGCAGTGGGCTGGAGAGATGGCTCAGTGGTTAAGAGCATTGCCTGCTCTTCCAAAGGTCTTGAGTTCGATTCCCAGCAACCACATGGTGGCTCACAACCATCTGTAGTGAGGTCTGGTGCCCTCTTCTGGCCTTCAGGCATACATATAGACAGAATATTATACACATAATAAATAAATAAATATTTTAAAAAAACATATATGCAGGCTTTGGAGAGAAAAAAAAAAGGTAAGAATCCTTAATAAGAGAGAGAGAGAGAGAGAGAGTATTTGGGTATGGTGGTACACACCTTTAATCCCAACACTTGGAATACAGAGGCAGGCAGACCTCTGTGGGTTCAAGTACAGCCTGGTCTACAGAGGGAGTTCCAGGACAGTCAAAGATACAGAGAACCTGACTCAAAAGGCCAAAAATTAAAAATAAAAATAAAAGGAATAGAATTTAAAATAAAGCTACGCAAAGACGAAAAATACACAGAGTCTGGATACTGTATATTATGTTCTCTTTGAATTGTTTGACTGCTGAGGAAAGAGCAGCAGCTGCTAAAAGATATTTGTTTGTAAATACTGCTGAATTAATCCAAGATAGTTTTTTTTAAAAATACCTTGACTTCAAAAGATATGTTACTTTAGAGAAGATAGGTTTTGCTTTTGTTTCCACAGAAAATGAGAAGTTGTGGATTCATTCTGAGTTAAGAAAAATCAGGTTTGATCAAGGAAGACCACCTGAGAGATCTCTGGTGGAAAGAGATGGCCCAGATGTCAGAGTTCTGCATCCAGAACAGATTCAAGATGCTGCCTGAGATGATCAAGCCCCACAGGATACTCCAGTCAGGACTTGATCATAATTCTAAATTTTCTTTAGGTCCCCATAAGATTATCAGTGCCCCCAACCAGCAGAAAGAAGCCTAGAAAACCATGCCCACATTCCCCCCAAAAATGGACTATGGATATTTCCCTTTATTTAAAAAAAAAAAAAAAAACAGAGGGGGAAGTGGTGTGGGACAATAGTATTCTGCCAATTATATTTTAAATAAACACTGATTGGTCAGTAGCCAGACAGGAAGTATAGGCGGGACAACCAGATAGGAAGTAGAGTCGGGTCAGGAGTATTCTGGGAAGAAGGAAGCTTTTTCTGCAGTTGTGAGCCCGCCACAGAAGAAGCAAGATGTGACTGCCTTGCTGAAAAAGGTACTGAGCCATGTGTCTAACATATACTAAAATAATGGGCTAATATAAGTTATAAGAGTTAATAAGAAGCCTGAGCTAATGGGCCAGTTAGTTTATAGTTAATGTAGACCTCTGTGTGATTTCTTTGGGACTTAACGATTGCAGGAATTGGGCAGGACAGAAACCCCGACAACAGCCACCTTTATATATCACCCTTTGGTACCAAGCAACTGGCTCTTTCTCAGCCCCCACTGTCACTGCTGTCTCCACCCTCTGGATGCGAACCCTTGCATGGCTGCCTTGCTTTCTTCCTTCCCACTCTCAACTCTATTCTCTTGTCCTTCAGGGTTGTGCTTACCTTAGGTGGAGCCTCATTATCAGGTCGGACCCAGGATGGGGGGTTTGGGCTCGGGCCAGGCCCTTCCGAGGTGGGGTCTGAATTCTGGCGGATGACAGCTCCTCGGGCACTGGGCGTGGCAGTGGGTGTGGGGACAGCAGCAGGGTCAGGGTCGTGGGAGGCAGGGAAGGCAGCCAGGTTTCGAGTGGGTTGGTCCTGCAGGGACTGGGATCGGGGTACAGGTGCTGCATATGGCTTCAGTGGGACCCGGTGTGCTACCAGGCTCTGTAGGGAGAGACCAGGAAGGATGGGCAGCCTGCCGTGGCACATCCTGCAAACTAGGGTTTGGGCTGAGAAAAGTTCCTTCTCCCCTCAGCAGACGCGGGAGAAGACTAGACACACGCAGCTGCAAACTATCCACAGGGCTGTGACTGTGGTGTGCAGAAGACACTAGTGAATGCATGCACGTGTTCATGGATGCAGCTCTGTACCTGGCTTTGAGCAAAGCCACTTGTGCTGGGACAGGAATGGGGACAGACTCACCTTGTGCGGTCCTTCCTGAGGCTCCACAGGCCTCTGCATAGGAGGAGTTTGGGAAAGAGGTCCTGGGGGGCTAGGAGAGGCCTGGGAGATGGGGGGCTCTGGCCCTGTACTGCTTGGCTTCGTCTTGGCCAAGGGAGAGTTCTGCTGCTTATTCATCCTTGCTCTCTCTTCCACCTGTGATGCAAGAGGTCGTCAGCAGGCCAGTGTTTGCTTCCCTGGTCTCAGAATCTAGATCCTCACTTGCTCCAAGCACTTCATCACTACAACCTCTGCTCCTCTGCCCTTCTCATGCCCATTTCTGCGCAGCAACCATTTCTCACAACTTTCCAGCCCTCAGGCAAAAGACTGGCAGGACAGGGTCTTAGGGGATAAAGCAGGCTGTGAGTACCTCTCGGGCCCATGCTGGCTTGTCAGCAGGATTAATGCCCCGACCATAATGATACAGGGGCTTCCTTTCCCCAGGTAGGATCTGTTGCTGCTGCTGCTGCTTCTGGAGCTGTTGTTGTTGTTGTTGCTGCTGCAGGGACTTGAGGTAGGCATGCTCCTGCTGCAGCTGTCTCTGGAGCCGCTCCGACTGCCTCTGCTCCTCTAGCTGCTTCCGCTTGTATTCCTGGGCCCAACAGTAGGGACAGAGGGTCAGCAGGGTGTGGCCCTGTGAGTTAGAGCAGGCAGCCCTTCCTTTCCTCTACTGCCTACACAGGAGCTGCTTCCCTGGAAGTCCCTTTCCCTGATGTGTTTCCCATCCCAGTGCAGGAAAGCAGCTCAGGATGGCATCTTCCCGAGGACACCGAGGGACCCCGTTACCAGCAGCAGGGCCTGTTCCTGGAGCAGCTGTTGCTGAAGGATCTCGAGCTGTCGCTGCTCCTCCTCTAGCCTGTGACGGATATATTCCTGGGGGGTGGGGTGGGGCAGGGGGCAGGGAGAGAGGGAGGCAGCAGAGGAGGGTGGCAGCAGCGGCAAAGGGAGGGAATCAGCGGGGTGAGGATGAGGGGGAACAAGGGTGGATGAGCCCCAGGGGGCAATGTGGCACAGATGGGAATAAGAGGAGACAGGGGATGAGGAGGAATCAGGTGGGTACCATGAGGGACAATGCCCCAGAGAGAAAGTCAGGGATGGGCAGAGATGGGGAATGAAGACACAGAGACAGGAGGGCAGGGAGAAGGGTAAGGTTGAAGGGTAGGAGAAAACAGAGAGAAAGAGTGAAGCTAGAAAAGATAGGAGGAATCTGGGGGTAGGGGAGCGAAAGGGACAGGGCACCGAGGAGCAAGGAAGGCAGGCAGCAGGAGCAGGGGCAGGGGCAGGGGCAGGGCAGGTGTGGAGGCGGGTGTCTGTGTGTGCACTGGCGCCAATACCTGCTCCCGCTCTGCCTGCCGCCTCTCCTCCTCTCGCCGCAGGGCCTGCATATCTTCCAACCGCCGCTGCTGCTCCTTCTCCTGCAGCTTCCGCTGCTCCCGCTCGCGCCGCTGTTGCTGTAGACCAAAGAGGTGATGTGTCTTAGGGACTGTACAGGGCAGGTGTTTGTTAGAGATGGTGGAGAGCAAGGCTTTAACACTTCCGAGCATGTATCCTGAGCCCTGTACCAGAGCTGCACACCTGGCCCCAAGAGCTGGGTGTGAGGAGAACAGTTTGTTGGAAGTAGCTGTGGGCATGGGGCTAGACAGAGGCTGCTGTGCCTGGAGCGGGCTCGAGGACGACATTTTCGTTTTCCCACTGGAGGGCTGTGCTGGCTAGTTTTATGTCAACCTGACACAAGCTAGAGTCGTCTGAGAACAGGGAACCTGAATTGAGAAAATGCCCCCACCAGGTCAGTGGTGCATTTTCTTGATGACTGATGTGGGAGGGCCCAGTTCACTGTGGGTGGTGCCTCTCCTAGACTGGGGGTCCTGAGTGCTATAAGGAAACAGGACAAGCAAGCCATGGGGTACAAGCCAGAAAGCAGTGTTCCTCTCAGTGTCTTTATCAGTTCCTGACTTCCAATGATGAACTTTGATGTCGAAGTGTAAGCAAAACAAACCCTTTTTCTGCCAAGTGGCTTTTGGTCACGGTGTGCTATCACAGAAGATGAAACCCCAAGACAACTACCCAACAACAACAACAAAAACAAGTGTTGAGAACAGCAACCCCCTAACATGCTCCTTGTACCCCAAATCTGACTTTGTCTTGATCTCTAAGAGATAGATGTTAATGATAACCTTTGGCCAACAGGGGGCACCAAGTGTCTGTGCTTAGAAAAGCAACCTTTGAATCTGAGCAACCACCTTCACCAAATCAGTCGCTTAGGACATTTTTTTGGAACATTCTTTCTGGCCAGTGTCTGTCCCCATCCCAAACAAGACCAACCATGAAATGAGCAAGACCAGGCCTCTGGACACACAGAAGTACTCCTCCTGTGGTGAGGCTGCTGCCCAGGCCTCTGTCACTTGCTACTGGCTGCTATTACAGAGAAGAGCAGAAAAGTCTTCATTGAGTTTTTCTTACAAATTTCTTCCTACTCAGCAAGAACAGAGGCCTACTCTGAGGAACGATGGACAGTGGAGATGCTGCAGCTATGCTTGAGACAATGTTTTTTGGTGTTGAGTTATAAAGTTTGAAAAAAAATGCAGATTTCTTATTCTCCATCATGCACCAATAATAAGTACATTTAGACAGACATCACACACAAAATTGTTATTTTGTTACTAGAGATCACACCCAAGAGACTCATGTATGACAGGCTCTACTATTGAGCTGTATCCCCAGACCCAACCCTTTTTTTGAGATAAGGTCTCACCATGACTGGACTAGCCTCAGACTTGCTATGTAGCTGAGGCTGTTCCAGAATTTCTCATTCTCCTGCCTCCTCCTTCAGAGTGCTGGGTTATAAGTGCATGCCGCTGCAGCCAGTTTTCTGTGGTGCTGGGATTGACGAGTTCTCTATCAACTGAGTTACACAGCTTTGTTGTTGTTTGGGGGTTTTGAAGGCTAGGCTGATCTGGAAATAATCATCTTCCTGCCTCTACCTCCCAATGGTGGTGGGGGGTGGAGAACAGGACAAAGCCACCACACCTTCTGTAGTATTTTAATGAGCAATAGAACAAACAGAAAACTGTACTTAAACTTAAGATTCTCTTCAATTAAAATGAATTTCCTCTACCGACCTTTAATCAGTCGAAAACAATTTATAGAAAAAAAATAATAACCAGAAGAAGGAGAAGAGTCTTCCCAGCTTTTCTGTTTGGAGCAGATCAGCACTAACAAAATGGGCACAGACTGAAGCTGGCCAAGACTGCCGGCCTACAGAAGTGTAAGCAGCGACAGCTCTATCATGGCAATAGCTGTCACTTTGACAGGATGCTGATGGATCCACACTAGGCTGGGCAGGGGACCAGCACCTGGAGACTGAGCCCCTGGTAACAGCGGAGAGTCTTTCCATGAAGGCTGAAAAGGGCCAGGCAAAGCCTGTCTCACTCCTCACTTTTCCTCCTGCCCTGGTGGACCCACCTCCTCCACACGCCGCCGCTCTTCCTTCTGCTCCTCTATGCGGCGCTGCCGCTGGTGCAGCAGGTGTTTGATGTGTGCCTCAGGGTCTCGCTGCTGCTGCTGCAACTGCTGCTGCTGCTGCTGCTTTAAAGCCTCAGAGTTGCTCTTATTCTCCTGCTGGAGTCGGAGGAATTCTCGGCGGAGTGTGGACTCCCCAGGCACATTCATGATGGAGCTGGATGATTGTGGCAAAGGCATACGGAGGTCAGAACATGCTGGTGGTCCTTCTTCCCTGGGCAGCCTGCCTGAGTGCCTCCAACTGTACTGGACACCCTGCCAATGGGTAATCCCAAGGGTCGTGGATTTGTCTTCTCTTCTGTCCCTCTTCCCTGTTTGAGACAGGGCCTGAATTATGTAGCCCAGACTGGTCTGGAACTTGCTATCCTGCTTCAGCCTCTCAAATGCTAGGATTAGAGGTACGCATCCTTGCCCCTGGCTACACAATGTTTACTGCTATTTGAAAGATTCCAGCCCATACCTTTGTCAGGCCTAAATCAACCTTCTCTTCCCCATCCATTCACTTCACTCTTCCTCATACAGGGACTCCATCTGCTATTTTTTCAGTTACATCATTTATTATGTATGTGCACACACACTTGTAAGCAGCCCACAGTGCACCACAGCATTCAAATGGAGGTCAGGACAACTTAGAAGAATTCTCTCCCTTTTAACATGTGGATCCCAGCAACTAAACTCAGGTCATCAAGCTTAAGGCAGGTGCTTCTGCCTGATGAGCCAATTCACCAACCCAGGGACTCAAGTTTATACAAGCTATCTTTTATGTGCTATTACCTAAGAGCCCCCAAAGCCAAGGATTATTGTTGTCCCCTCAGACAATACACACAGACCCCAACCTCCCACCTCTACTCGCCAAACCTACCTCGGCTCGCCTTCCTCTCCATGGCTGTCATCCTCCTCTTCACTGCCACTGTACTCATATTCTGTCTCCTCTG